CAAGGAATATTGCCCTGCGCATTTACTCCGGCAGCAACTGTATATGTTCCTGAAGCGGGTGGATGTTATGGTACGGTAGTTAAATTACGGCTTAGCAGATAGAGCTCCTTGCTATGAACATTTTCGACCGTTCTCTTATAAAAACCTTGTTTTTCCTGCCTTTATGTGTTTAATATGCAAGATAATAACATATTACTTAAATATTATCTAGATTTCTTTTCAGCTCTCCAAATTTTTATATCCTGGTTACATGGTACCTTTGCTTCTAGTAGAGTATGGGACCGTTTAAGCAGGCTACGGCTCCATAGTACTGATATATCTCCACTGATGAGAATCAGAACTACTTTGTTTAACTGAACAGAAACATGTTCGAACGCAGATGTTCATTAGGAATATATGGTAGAAATTTGATGGTCATGAAGCTTAATCTACCGACTTACCTAAATGGTTTGTTTTCTACAGAGTACCTTATACGTCCTCCTGGAAGGACGCCTATTCGTCCTTAGAACTGGACGCACTGATCTGTAGCAATGTTAAAGCTTTGAAGTTTTGGCCTGTTGTAATTTCAGTCAGAGGATTGCGATTACCACTTGTCAGGTGATAGGTTTCCTTGCGATAGTCCATTCAATCAAATTGTGTTCTGCCGGAACACCAGCACAGGCCTGCCTGCCTGAGTTCAGTAGCTTCCGCCCGCATGGGTTCAGAATTTCATAGTCTTTGCGCTTCGTTGACGAGAGTTGTCGAGTTTGTACCTTGCGGCTTGATTAGCTCGTGCTGTTTCTCTCCGAGTAAGAATATGTTCCAGTTTCCAACTCTAAGCTCCCATCGGCGGTTTCGTTTCCATGGAGCCTTTTTTTGACGTTCTGTAATGGCATCGCGCCGTCTACCTTTTCCGTTCAGAACGGAATTCGACTCCCTTGCTGATTGGTATCTTCGTCGTCTTTCCTTCGATCTTCGGCAGAGTTATTGTGCTGCTTCCTTCCCAGCGGCTAGAAGGTGTGAAACAGTTTGTTTCAGCTAATTGGAGATATCCATAGATATTTCAGTTTTTTATCAGTAATAAAGATTTTATCAGGCAAATAATATTAAGAAAAAAGCAAACACAACTATCAGTTCTGGTGTATTTAACGATATTTGCAATGATTGCAACAACCCTCTAAGTTAAACGCAGAAATCTGAAATCATATACTCGAATAAATAGTCGGACAGCTTACTAGAGCCTTTAAAATTTGCCGCAGAGAAAATGACTCATCGACGAAACATCAATGACTGAATAAAGCTGGCATTTTTGATCTGGTTTTTTCGTGTCATGTTCCTCATTTTTCTCGTCTGTTAATTTCATGAATATGTCAATATCATATTTTGAATGCACCCATTTAGCATTGCTCATATGAAAGAGCCCTTTTTATCATGGTCGTCGATGTTGTATGAGTGGTTTAACGCATATCTTTGCATTGTCATCGTCTGTCAATCACCTTCGATTGCCATATGGCATATTCTTTCCTGTGGCTGCTGCAGACGCGTCAGACAATGTCTCCAACGTTTCTGATTTTGGCCAAAGTTCGAGCTTCAGAAAACGCTAACCTGAGTTTGGAGCAGAGTCCCTCTTGACACTTTCACTAGATCATTCTTGTAAGTTTCTTGGATCATCGGTCGATCGCTTCAACAAGGTTATCAGTCTTTTGTAATAACATAAATATGTTTCGGGTGCTGCTGCTGAGTTAATTTAATTTATCGTTGTAAAATTTTGTATTACTCTCTGTTGCATTTAGGAAGTTTTGCTGTCGAATCCAGGGGCTGTCAAACAGCTGCTTTATAGTCACGGAGATTTGGAAACCCTCGTTTACGTTTTTGGTCTTTTAAAGGGTGAATTCTTTTTTTACCAATTATTTGCTTTTTGTCATGTTAACTTCGATGATGAACAGTATGCGTAATGTCTGAAACGTTCAGCTGTTATTAAATTCACTTCGTTTTATACCCATAGATACTGAATTATAATAGCGTTTACTGGATATTTTGATTGCTTATATTCTGGAACTTGTTCTTCGCGATGGCTCTCCAATCCGGAACTTGTCGATGAATAAAAATCAGAGGGGGCATTCCATCTCTGACTATACTATAGTTCTGTCATTTCATCTAAGTGTAACAGTCTTCCCATGTCTTTTAAACATTCACATCATCCAGTTTGATATGGGCTGATCTTCTCTCCGTTTACGATGACGCCTATATGCCGTTGAAAGCACCAAATGGATATGAAGATGTACTTGATGCGGCATATCAGATCATGAAAACAGCAATATTTACTAACGAAGCACTGAAACAACGGCAAGCGTCCAAAGGTATTGTAATCTTGTTGCTGAAAACGTCTATGCAGCGCAAAATTTGCTTTGTGGCGTTGATCATATTAGCGGCTGCGGCTGACAGTAGTAAGAGATGGAACAAACTACTTTAGCCGAAGAGGGTCAAGAGATATTGAATTAACTGCCGTCATTGGCGTTGAAAATGTGAACTGCGTAGGTGTAGACATTACTGATAGGTTTGCATGGCCTGATCATCTGATTTACATCGTCAAATACGTGATTAAAGCTAAGATCTGCTTTCGTCATTCACTCTTTCTTGGAGTCCCTCTTGGTTGATGCCTCTGATTTACAAGTTGTTGTATAATGCAAACTGTCACTAATGCTTCTTAGTTTTATTTGGAAGCGTTAACAGGAAGTGATATTGCGCTGTTGCAGCGATGTATTAGGGCAATCGCGAAATGTGAAGAATTATAATATGCTTTTACGGCTAAGACTATGTTGGAGACTGTTTGATGTCAGTCCGATTTATTTCGCTAAACATAATTGCAGGATGCCACCCCCACACACATACACACACTTCACACTGACTTAACATTCTAAAAACAGGAACTGAGCTGTGTAGAAAATCAGTGGCACCCAATTCAGTTCGTACCCTCATGAATGCTTCTGCCTTAAAATGTATTCTCTTGCTTTCCATAAGTAATA